TGAGACGAGGTGACGGGCAGTAGCGATCTCGCGGGCTACCATCATCCCGAGTGCTCCAGGGAGAAGTCACCGTTCCTTACTCTCCGGCTTGCCTTTATTGGCTGGCTGGAGTGAACGATGACAAGGAACAGGTCTCCCACCTCTGACTTGCCTTCATTGGCCGTCCAGAGTGGAGTCGCGAGAGCAGTGATCCTGCTCGGAGGGTAAGAAACTATTCGTAAGTCGCGAGTGGGCCAGGGATGCAGGAGGCTTCGGCTGGAGCAGATGGTCTGAGTAGAAAGCGGTGGTAGTTTCTTAACCCTTGAGCCACTCACATTCTCGTTGCCCCTCTGTTGCTATATCTAGCAACCATTCCCGGGGCCTGGTCGGTAAGTTGGCGAGTCTCCGCCTGCCATTTTTACGTGTAGTAATTACATTGTTTCGGCAGGTGCCATAGTCATCCATAGTTCCCCATTTACATGTAGCTACTGTTAACCGTTGAGGAATTCCCTCGACTGCCTCATGGCTCCATCATCAAATCAGCTCCAGACCTTTATCAGATTGTAGTGGTTTTAAATACTTAACGAAAAAATTAACAACTGCACTAGTCGCCCCTATGATTTTTGAAAGTTCCCTTCGGGTTCTCTAGGATTCCATCATCAGATCCTGACTTCATAACAATGGGACCAAATAACAAGCCTATAATTATACGGGGCCCCCAAGCCCCCGGACTACAGGGACCCCCAACGTGACTAAGCAAAAATTAATAAAAACTTCCCAATTTTCATTCTATTTCTGTATTCGCAACGACGCGACGTCGCGGTGGCCCGGAGGTTTAAGACGCCCGCTTCTCATGCATGAGGGTGCGGTTTCGAAACCTACCAATGGCAAGTACCAATGTGACTTTTCCCGAGTTATATGTACATTCTAAGATTATCTAGACACCACTGACAAACAGTGAAGGAAAACATTGTGAGGAAACCTGGGCCTATAATTTCTAATTATAAGTTTGTAATCGCCAACCCGCATTGAGCAAGCGTGGTGATTAATGCTCAAACCTTCTCCGTGTGAGAAGAGGCTTTACTCAGCCGTGGGCATTTATAGGCTGTTGGTGATAAGTAATCGCAAAAGTCAAAATAAACGAGCCCCTAGCCCTTCAACAAGGGCTAGGGGCCCTTGAAGGGTAAACATTTCACACACACCCTTTGAGTACCGTCATTATAGACACAATTAAAGAACATTATGTGTGCGGTGCGGACACCGGTGTCCTCGCGGTGTTTGACAGTCTAAACATATTTTTATACGGCCCTCCCCCCAAAGGCACGCTTCGTCATTGATGATGATATAATTTTATTTACATTTAACTCTACAGATCCGGAAGCTATCGTTATTTTGCTACATTTCAAGTAAATTAGATAATAAACGAGACCTTTGATATAAACTATAAACAAACGTGAATGAAGATAGCAGAACACGCGATCGTGAAGCTGTGAAGAGTAAATATAATTAACTAGCTATTCCCGCGCGGTTTGACCCACTGCTCAACTCCTATTTATCGTAGGGTGATGTTTTATAGCCTATAGCCTGCCCGATAAATTGACTATCCAACACAAAAAGCATTATTTAAATCGGACTAGCAGTTCCAGAGATTAGCGCGTTCAAACAAACAAGCAAACAAAATCTATCTATACCTACATGTAATAAAACCGTAGAAGTTTATATTCTGTACATTGAAAATATTAAAAGAATAAGTGGTAGGGGTTAACATTGATTCGGTTCGATACAGATACAGTATCCATTGGTTGGCTACTGAGTCTACCAGTGGTTACAATTACCGTAGATATTTTACTTATTTTTTTTTTATTTCCGTGCGACTTTGAGGAAATCCTCTTTGAGTAATCCACTAGACACTCGCTAGCGCTAAATCATATTCCCACTGGGTATATCTAGGATCACACGTGCAGGAATCAAACCTGGGACATGTCGTGTAGAAGTCAGTTTGTTCAGCCACTATACAACCGTTCGGAGTCAGACATACATACGTAATTATAATCATAACAAAGTTTACCTACTTTAATAAATGAATAACAGCATCGAACAAAACACGACGAGAAAAAAAGCCACAGATAAAAAAAAATGCATTACAAACTTCAAATTAAAAATATCATACCTGTAGCTTTAAATTCTTGCATTATTATGTATTTTCTTCAATAAAATCGAGTATAATTTTATGAATATTACTAAAACACGTCCGTTCAGTGTGCCGTCAAGGGCATTACTGGACTAACAGTAACGTTCAGATTATTAATAAATTGATAACAATGCTTGCTTTACGTCAATGAGTAATTACACAGATGTGAAGTTAGGCAGAAACCAGATGTTTATGTACCAATCGATAGAAGCTAATTTTTTTATGCCATAAGCCAATAAGCGAGCTGACGGATCACCTGATGGTAAGCAATCGGCGCCGCAGCACACCAGAGGCGTTACAAGTGCGTTACCGGCCTTATGGGGATTACGAGTTTGAGGATCCCGCGAGATCGGCTATATGGGTAAAACCAAAAATCTGCCGGAAGCTACTATTCGATGCGAAATGCGAAAGCTAGTACCTATCTACTAATAAGTATATAAAGCTGAAGAGTTAAAACATCACGTTACGACCTATATGAGCCAAACCGAACGGTTGAAACTGCGCTGAATTAATAATTTATGATATTAGGTATGATTGGACAGTCCTATCTTTAATAATAAATATTTAATCTATGCAAGCAATGTAAGATGGTTTAATACTTTAATAACTTGTATGTTGATATCGCCCATTATCTAGTGTTGTAAATCGAACGATACTTTCTATACAAGATATATATTTTAGACACTACATCACGTCGCGGAGAACCTAACGGGTAACCGGGGCTCCGGCTCGACGTGCAGAAGGAACGGGGTGGTTTTTAGTCAGTAAGAGTCTGACACTCCCTCCCGCCTCACCCAGGCGGGAGAAGACATTCGATGATTTTCCCCCCTTAAAAAAAAAGTAGGTATGACAAGATTTTGTCCTAGCGATCGCAAAGTTTCGCATTGTGTATTTTCTTATTTCACGGATTAACATCACGCTCTCACAGGAAATCAAAGTCAAAGTCAAAATAATTCATTTCAATTAGACCAGGAAGGCCCTTTTGAAAGTAAACAATAAAAACATTTAGAAGTGAAGCTAGTTGCTCATTCCAAAGTGTAGATTCCTATGGAGAAGAACGAGCAAAAAACTACATAGGTTACTCTTTTTCAATCGGGTTTACAATACAATTCTCTAGTTACATAGTTTTGTTGGTTCGATTGTGTGAGAACAATGCAAAACCTAAATGCAGTCAAAGAGATTGAAAAAGAAAATAACCTTGAGGAGTATGAAATCATACAGTCTGGAGCTGACCAGTCCCAGTTGACGGCGCCCGTTCACGGACATGACACGTACCCCAGCACCGCCCAACTCAACCATTTTGTAGGGAATCTAGCGATCCAATGCACGTGCCACCGGCACCGCCAATGAGATCTTTGAGTGAGACAACTCCAAGCTGACACAAATGCATTCTACTAGTCTGAATCTAAAATCGACGTGAAACACTGCTTGTGTTGTGTGTGAGGTTACCGGATGCCCAATTGCTTCCCTCTCCAATCTCCGAATCCCCAACGATCCTCCAATTCAAAACCTGCAAAGGGCTGGCAACGGTAGTAGGTAACGCCTTCTAATGTGCACAGAAACATCTTCTTTATTATATCTGTGGTTCCGTGTGTCCATGGGTGACGCCGATTGCTTACCATCAAGTGATCCGTCTGCTCGTTTACCGGCTAATGCCATAAAAAGCTTAATTATTTATTTCGTCGCAAGTGCGACTGTCGGGTTTGATTCAAGGGTCGGAAGAAGTATTATTGGGTTTTTATAAAAAAAACTCAGTAGTAACACGGAGTCTGGAATTGTGCCCGGTATATGGCAATAGGCTCACCCCTATTACATGGGACTCATAACATAAATAGTGAAAAGTGGATGTTACATTGTACAGTGGCATTAAGTACCGTAATGTGCACCTCTGCCTACCCCTTAGGGTATAAAAAGGCGTGATGTTATGTTAGACTACACATTTCACAGAGACTTTTAAACTACAATCTCCCAATCTCCAATCTGTCAGCTAAGTGTGGAGATACCGACCAACATTACCTTACGTTTATGTAATATAGAAGGCTCACAGTATAGGAGTGGACGGTCAAAATAAAACAACAATATATAAGTAATGTATTATACCAAGGACATTGAAAAAAAGGCGAACGTAATGTCACTTAGAAGACAGAAATAAAAATATATAGAAGTGATTGAACCACCAAAATGTGAGTAGTGTATTCATGTGTGTATACTTGCAACACTGTAATGTAGGGAGTGTAATGACGCGCCATGACATGCGACAGATGTCCTTCGTGTCAATTCCCTCACGACAGCATATGCATCCCCACCATATAGATGGTTGGCACAACTGTGCGCTTGACTAGTAGCTTACTGCCTCGGCAACTGTGGAATGATCTGTCGTCGACGGTACTTCCGAACCGATACGACCTTCAAACCTTCAAGAAGAGCTTATTCCTTTTTAGAAGGCCGGCAACGCGCCTGTGACTCCTCTGGGGGCTTACTCTTGAATCCAATTTCAATCGATCGACATTGGTATTGTAAAATTGCGTACTCTTGAGTTGTAACACTAGCGCCTATTGCATCCGTATTGCGTGGATATTGAATGAACTAAATGGCTAAAGCTTTGACATTGAATAATTATTGAGATTTTATTGGATTCAAATTGTATTGACAATGAGATTGGTTTCATGAGTAAGCACCATGGTGTTGCGGGTGTCCATGGGCGGCGCTGATCGCTTACCATCAGGTGATCCGTCTGCTCGTTTGCCTCCTATACCATAAAAAAATGTGTGTGTATTCTGCGTGTAAGTCTATAGTAGATAGGTGCCAGTGTTGTTTCAAGAGACTAAGTCCGCATTTTTTTCAAAATCTTGCTTTAAACATTAATACTTGTATTTTATTTGTATATTAATAAATAGATCAGTAACTTATTGTTGTAAACTGTTTACATAGGTAATTAAATCAGCCTTCTCCAACAGTGGCGACATCTGTTTGCAATATATTCTCTGTCGAATTCCGTTCAACGTTTTTCCAAGTCTGAAATATAAAATCAAAACATTATTATTATTAATGATTTTCATCTTTGATATTTTATTTTATGCGAAATCGAATGCCTGCATCGTGTGTGCGTTACCCAGGCCAGAAAAAATAGTCATATGAATCTTATAGACAATTAATTTTGCGGCTTCTCATTTTTAAATTTGTTGCGCTTATAGTTTTTTAATTATTTCACCAAAAAATTTCTTGCTGGGGTAACGTTACCCCAGCCAGACCTTTTTATTTCTACTAATGGGAATATTTAAATAATTACTAGCTATAAAATTACTTGTCTAGATGAAGTAAATGTTGTGCCTTATTTTGTATTTGTTGTTTCATCGGTTGCGAAGTTATTCGAGATTTTGCTGGGGTAACGTTTTTACTTTTGTTTGATCTTTAAATTGGTTAAGCGGAGTCTTATCATATTAACATCTGGCCTGGGTAACGCACACCTGCGTCGTTGGTCGAGTGATCGCAAGTGCGATTGCCGGGTAAGGGGTCTCGGGTTCGATTCCCGGGTCGGGCAAGTATTAGGTCCTGGGTTTTAAAAAAATTCTCAGTAGTAGCACGGAGTCTAGAATTGTGCCCAGTATATGGGAATAGGCTCACCCCCTATTACATGGGACTCATAACATAAATAGTGAAAAGTGGGTGTTCAATTGTACTGTGCCTACGCCTTCGGGGATAAATGGCGTGATGTTATGGATGTAAATCGAATGCCCGTTTTCATCAATCTCTCATAAATAAGGAACCTCTAAGGTACGATAGGTGACTCTTTCCGACATTTTGGTTTTTGCTAAACTAGGATTTAGGCAGAGTCGCCTTATAATACACACAAAGATTTGCTCCGTGCGGGTACCGCAACCACAACAGGCAGCTAGTTCTCGCGCAACGTGTAGCGGGTTTGAGTCCGATTCTAGTGATGTGCTGTAACAGGCGTTGCATCGTGGACCGTGTGGGGCTCTGGCGCAGGTCTCTTCAGAGGACCCGGTGCCCTTTACAGGTGCTGAGCGTGGCCACCGGGGTGGTTTTAGTGAGGTTTGAATCCCACACTCCCTAATCTTTCTCCCCAAAAAAGCTAGGCGCCTTTTGAATGTTTCTCCCCGTCATCAAAAAAAGACGCTGATTAGGGGTCCCAAGCGCCCTTATGGTAAAGACGGTACAGGGTTTCAGCGCTCCGTTACTCTAAATAAATTTTAGTAAAGAGGTTATTTAGGAGGTTGATGAAAACGGCTATTAATCTTACCTTTTTACAGCGCAAGCATTTATAAATCTTGTATTTATTACTCTGTTTCACTTCCGATCCTAATTTGATGTGGCGGTATGATCTGTAAACAAAAATAATTGAATTATAATAATTCCTACATATGTAGACATGGTGTCGGTTACCCAGGTTAAATGTTATGGAAAATGGTAATTGATCTGATAGATAATTAGTTTTGTGGCTTCTGTAATTGTTGCGCATATTTTTAAATAACATATTTATTGCTAGGGTAACGTTACCCCAGCCAGACCTTTTTCTTTCTAATGGGAATATTTAAATAATTACTAGCTATAAAATTTGTTGCCCAGATGAAGTAAATGTTGTGCCTTATTATGTATTCGTTCTTTCATCGGTTGCGAAGTTATTCGAGATTCTGCTGGGGTAACGTTTTTGGTTTTGCTAGATCTTTGAAATGGTTATGGGGATTCTTATCATATTTTGACCATGGTTTCTTAGGAATTGGTTTAAATTTGTTGTGCAATAAAATAACCAAAATAATACAAAGCTTGTGCGCAACAATTACAGAAGCCGCAAAACTAATTATCCTCTTGCGAACGGAAGAAGAAGAACGGGTTGCAACTTGAAAATATACATCAAATATACAGTCTAGTACACTCGTATGTACAATTGCGGCGATGGGCACTCAACTCTCTCGTACACCCATGTGTACAAGAAACGCGCGAGAGGTTAACTATCAGATTCAAATGACCATTTTCGACAACATCTGGCCTGGGTAACGCATACGACATTATGTGCTCGGTTTCTATTGATCGCAGCGTGATGTCTTATAGCCTATAAGCTCCCTCGATAAATGAACTATCCAAAACAAAAAGAATTATTTAAATCGAACCAGTAGTTCCTGAGATTAGCGCGTTTAAACAAACAAAATCATCAGCTTTATATACAAATATATACACAACAGCTAGTAATAAGCTGTTGCCCGCGAATTCATCGAAAACTGTCGTTTTTGACAATTCGCGAAGTATTAACTTTGATTAGTTGGCAAATACCCAGGCCTTTATTGTTCTCACTTACATAAGGAAACACAACGCTGTGGTTGTTTCACTATGGTTTCCTGCTCGGCCTAAGTATCACTTCGGTCGAGCCGGCCCAGCAGTGCCGAAGCATGACTCTCTCATACATAAAAACCAAATAACAGCGTGTTAGAATATACTTACGTCATATTGTACGAACAATGTAAACAAGTATATTTCGTAGCTTTTATATGATTTCTTCTATAATGAAATATTGTTTCATCTTCAGAGTGATATTTACGTCCACATGTTACACATTCATATCTGTAAAAAAATATATTATATAAATGTTATAGGGTTGCTGGTTGTGAAATTAAAGCTCCGGTGTTGTTGATGATTATTTATTTATTGGCAACTTCACTGATACATAAATTTACTATAGACTCATCAAGATAGTTGCAACCCTAAGGGTAGGGATGAAAGGAACTGTGTGGTTATCGCCATTCAGATCTCCCCTAGCTGGCTAATAGGCATGGCGACTATTTTTTAATTTTTTGTCCGTCTTGTAGATATTTTAAAAATCTTCGATACGTATTTTTTCTTTTTTCTCGTATCCAAAAAAAACATTGTAGACATTTTGAGTTAAAATGACGCGTGACGTCACAATTAGGTACGATTTCTCCGTAAGTGTGACGTCAACACCCCCCACTCCCTAACTTTAATGCGAAATAACTACGTATTTTTCTGTTAATTTGATAAAACAAAAAATACGTGTCTGATATTTTCGTGCGATCTTAATGACGGACTAATTACTTTTTTGATTTTTTTACCCTGTCGACACGCCTATTCCAGAAGACCGCTAGGTTATCGAACTGGAGTTAGTCGTACTTAGGTTCGGAGAAGGCTGCGTGGCTACCGAACTCTGATCCTCTAGCTAGTAGAATAACGATTTGTTCGAAAACAACTCTGCTTATAAAGGCGGATGGTTTGCATGTGTGCTCTATCTTCATAATCGTTGTTTGTAGTTGTAGTTGTTTTGGATAAATTATACTAGATGGCGTTGTGTGTTCGCTTTAATTTTCACTTTTCTACGATTTTATTATATCTATGTACATATGTTATGTATCAACACAACATGTAAGTAATGTTATTTCTTACTAATATTATAAATGCAAAAATCTATGTTTGTCATTCGATCCCGTCTAAACGGCTGAAGGGATCGCGATTAGATTAGGAACAGAGGTAGATTATGGTCTGGAATAGCACATAGGCTACTTTTTGTTCCGCCATGATCAAGGGACACGCACGTCTCCCTAGTGATGTTCTGTATCAGGCGTTGCACCGTGAGGGCTCCGGAGCAGCCCGGGCTCTTCAGAGGACCCGGTGTCCCATACAGGTGCTGAGGGTGGGCATCGGGGTGGTTTTAGTGAGGTAAGAATCCCAAACTCCCTAGTCTTTCTCCCCTAAAAAGCTAGACGCCTTTTAAAGGTTTCCCCCCGATATCAAAAAAAGGCTACTTCTTGTCCCAAGGTAAAGCGGGCGACGCCGCGGGTAGAAGCTAGTAAAAGATATGTTAGTATTTACCTGATATAGTGGTAGGATATGTGATCACTATAATTAGCCCCTGGATCGATGTACTGAAGACATACCTGGCATTTGATTGAGTTTTCTTTCTGTAAAAATAAAAAACATACATATAAGTAATGAACTGCCTCGTCGGCCGAGTAGTCGCTAGTACGACTGCTGGGCAAGGTGTTTCGATTCCCGGGTCAGGCAACGTAGTACTGGCTTTTTTTCTTAATTTCTCAGTAGTAGCACGAAGTCTGGAATTGTGCCATATATATGGCAATAGGCTCACCCCCTTTTACATGGGACTCATAACGTAAATAGTGAAAAGTGGGTGTTACATTGTACAGTGGCATAATGTGCACCTCTGCCTACCCCTTCGGGGATAAAAGGCGTGATGTTATGTTATGTTAATAATCTTTAAAGTGAGTTTGTTTGTTTGTTTGTTCCACTTTCACGCCGTAACTTCTAAACCGATTGTTAGTTATGATTTTTTTGTGTAACAAAACGTTTTGAAGCGCTCGTCAGCTGTCAGCTGTCAGTGTCAATATTATCATTCATTCACTCTCTGCGTTTCCGTTGTTTTCGTGTTACGTTTTGATTATTGTTATGTGTTTTAAACAAAAACCGCAAGTTTTACAGGTTTCAGGATAAATAATAAATAATAATAAAAATAAAAATCGTTTATTTGTAAAAACAGATTACGGAACCTATAAATTGTGATTGGAGCCTCCTTTTAAGCAAGATATGCCTGTGTTAGGAAACTCCGCTCTTTCACAACAAGACGTACATAGTTAATATCTATAAATACAAATACAAATACAAACATTACTAACTTATTCTAATTTAAGGACTAAGTTTGAATTAAAAATAGTAGGTAAGTACATAAATATTTGAGTGAAACATGTACATGTATTGTACTATCAATAGCTTGTGGTAGGTGTCAATGTAGGTGTTGAAGAAGTGCCTCAGTCTCGTGGTAAGAAAGAGTTTTTAACCATTCACTTAACATTTTTTTGGAATCATAATAAGTTTTTGAGTAAATATACACTTGCTTATTTATTCTATTATACAACTGCGCAGACCGTTTGCTAAATTGTGTACTAGCAGACACGGTCCTTGTCTGAGGGACCGTGACTATAGCGTCTTGCCTTCTTCTTGTTGATTTGCTGGCATCGAAAACTGTAGATTTATGTTTTTTTAGAACAATTTGAAGTATATAGAGTTTCCTCACCGATAGCAAGTTACTAATTGTATATAAATCTTCAGATGGGAATCTCTTTTTTTTAAAGTACATACGCTTGATTAGAGCTCGTTGTGCACGCTCCAACTCTAAAAATTTAGTTTTCCCTGCACCACCCCATATAGGTATACAGTATAATAGCACTGACTGTACCAGTGCGACATAAACATCATTTAGCAGATTTTTTTGGCGGCCATCACTGCTACATATATTTTTAGGTACTACATGTCTCAGAGTACTGAAAATCCAACTAAACTTTCTGACTCTATTTACAACCTGTTCAAGGTGAGGGTGCCAACAAAGTCTCTGGTCCATTATAATACCTAAGTATTTGACGTATGGTACTTTGTTTATAATTGAACAGCTACAATTTGTATAAATCTCGTCGTCGTCACAGGTATGGACTTTTATATTAAAGTCCTCAGTGGGTTGTGTTCTATTGCAGACACTGAAGCATATGTAATTTGTTTTTGAAACGTTCAGTGTAAGCAGATTCTTGCTCAGCCACCCAGCTATTTTAGATAAGCCAAGTTCAGTGCTTCGCTTGACGTCATGCCATGTCGCACCAGTGAAGACTACTGCAGTGTCATCGGCATACGAGAAGACTCGTGCGCTTTTGAATTTTAGGTCACATAGGTCATTCACGTAAATAAGAAATAACGTAGGGCCCAACACGCTTCCCTGGGGAACACCATATGTCACCTGTGCTTCCCCACTGACAAACTGTCCCACCCTAACACTTTGCTTCCTGTTCGAGAGGTAATCACTTAGCAGATTGAGAGGTGTACCTCGTATTCCAACACGTTCCAGCTTGTTTACAAGGATTGGGACAGAGACGGTGTCGAAAGCCTTCTTTAAATCGAGGAATGCAGTTAAACATTTTTTACCACTGTCAAGTTGTCCAGTAATGAATGTGCTCAATGCAGTTACTGCATCTTCGGTGGAAATACCTTGACGGAAACCGTATTGTGAGTCGGATAATATATTAAATTGGTTTAGGAATTTTAATAGTCTTACATTGATAAGCTTTTCTATTATTTTAGATATTGTCGGTAAAACAGATATGGGCCTGAAATTACTGACGTCGTCCCTGTCCCCACCCTTGTAGACTGGCGTAATGATGGCTTGTTTTAGTGGAGCCGGAAAGATGCCTTTATTGAAGCACAGGTTAGCAATATGAGTTATTATGGGAACGACGTCATTCCCTACGTATTTTAGGAAACAGGCGGACACATTGTCCCATCCAGGGGCACTGTCAGACCTCAGATTCATAAGGATATAATTCACTTCATCCTCGTCAGTGTCCAACAGTACAAAGGAATTTGCTTGTGCTGTTGATGTGTTATAACATGTGTTGTGGCTATTATTTAGGTTAGACTGGATTTCGTGAGCAAGGTTTTTCCCAACATTTGCGAAAAAGTCATTTATGTAGTTAACAGATAATAGAGGAGATTCTTTGATGTTTAGTAGTGGTGTGGAGGTGTCATTTATTTTGTTTGCATAGGTAACTGTTTTTATATTATTCCAAAGCAATTTATTGTTCCCTACTGATTTAATAATAAGTTCTTTTTCATATTTCCGTTTTAATTTTTTAATAAGTTGGTTACAGTGGTTCCTATATCTAATATATGTTAATTTTAAAATGTCATTGTGAATATCTTTTTTGCTATCTTTTTGTAGTTTATTACGGTTTCTAATGCAGCGCAGTAGACCTGGTGTAATCCATGGTTTCACGATTCGTTTACTGTTTGGTATATTTGTTATAGTCGTGTTTCTTTTAATTGATTCTGTAAGTTTTTGTATTAAAGTGTTAGTTAAATATTCAGGGTCACTATAAAAAAGCAAGTCTTTTATATTATTTTCCTGCAAATACTTGCGTGCTTGCTCGTAATCAATTGACGATTTTTTCTTTTTAGCTATGTAGGTATTCTTTATTTATAAATGTTTAGGTATTGGTAATTAATACACTACACGATGCTGAATACTGCATGCTTGTACATGACTTCTAATATAATGGGTCAAAGATACACTGAGCACCTGGTATTGTCCTTTATTTTAGTTTTTTAATTATTTCACACAAATATTTCCTGTTGGGGTAACGTTACTCCAGCCAGACCTTTTACTCTCTAATGGGAATATTTAATTAATTACTGAAACTATTTGATGAAAGAACAAATACAAAATAAGGCACGACATTTACTTCATTTAGACAATTAATTTTATAGCTAGGAATTATTTATATATTCCCATTAGAAAGAAAAAGGTTTGGCTGGGGTAACGTTACCCCAGCAGGAATTGTTTTTGTTAAATAAATAAAAAACTATAAAATAAATGTATAAATGTGCGCAACAATTACAGAAACCGCAAAACTAATTATCTATAAGATTCAAATGGCCATTTTCGACAACATCGGGCATGGGTAACGCACACGTATTTTCCTTATTAAAAAATAATAACACTTTCATTAAATGGTTTTAATAATAATAATAATGTTTTTTGACCAACTTAATTTTTGAATTTTTTCAGCAAACTTTTAAGAAGTAAGTTTGCTGTTTGACACATAAAAATGACGTTACCATACACAATCTCGTACAAAATTGATAGAAAAAGGTCAACTTTGACACTTCGAAAAAGTATTGACTTGAAGATTAATTGAAATATAAATGCTTTGACTTTGTCTCTCTCTCTTCCTTACTCTCTTTCTGGAGAAGAGTATAGTCTCAATTTCACGTCTGTAAAAGGTAGTATACTTACATAACAATGTTTCCTTTTTGAATGATCTTCCAAATTATCTTGATAATTAAATCCTAGAATACATGTTTCACATTTATATGCCGACTTTAGGTATCGCTGACTGGCAGCTAATTTTGATCTTTCCGTCATTAATTCTTCTTCGGACAATATTATAGCTTTAATCCGAGACTGAATCGAAGATTTTAGAACTGAAATACAATACAATTTTAAATGCCTGTTTTTTTTTATTACTGGGACAAGCCCGCCACTACCTCCCACAACCGGCAACTCCTGTAAGCCTACAGTAGATACAACCATGAAAACACTGAAGTCTGACGCGTCCCAGGGACATGAATAACTGTCTTGGTTCCCGCAACGAAGTGAATCAGAAGATATTATAAGAGGAGAAGAAAAAAACGATAGTTTCCACTTCCCTCAGTGAATTACTGCAAGAGACAGAATGAATAAAGCCTAAAGGCACAAAAAAGAGACTATACAACTGGGTAAGTAAATGTCTGTGTGTATATTGTGGACATTTGTTATGCAAAAAAAATGACTAATTTTTTATAAAGTAAACGGTAATATAGGATACAAAAGGAAGGAGGAGGAAAGGAAAGGAAGGCCTCCCGACGCTTACAAAAAGAAATTGATTTTATAATAATCATCGTTTTTTGTTTTCGTGTTATTCACGAAACATCGGCGTTAAGCAGTTGATTACAACTATTTGATTATTATGTAGTAGTCTCCCCTTGTGTATTTTTGGTTTAATTATTTCTGTGTTGGATAGGGATATTTTCGAGGAAGGCTACGACCCCGCTACGACCCATAGCAGCCGAGCAGTGGGTGAACCGCGCTTTTTTAGGGGGGGAAATCATCCAACGCCTTCTCCCGCCCGGGTGAGGCGGGAGGGAGTGTCAGATTCTTTGACTAAAAACCACTCCGTTCAAGTGCAGGCGTAGCCTGCACTTCGAGCCGGAGCCCCGGCGACCCGTTAAGTCTTCCGCGGCTCTGTATCGATATCAGCCTTACTGGGCCCCATAGGTGGTGGTCTGACGGTGGTCATTAAGCGCGCGCGGAATGCTCGGCGCCATACGCATGGGTCTGGTTCTGGTCGAGCGGCGAGCTTGTTATTCACTGTCCGCAAAACCGCACTTACGGTGGCCGGAGATAGTCTCACGATCTCCGACGCCCGCAGTGTCTCCCGCGGGGTGTAAGGAGTTAATTCCCGCACGCGCCCCGCCTCCTCCTTAGCTAGCATGACTGCTTCGCAGAAGGAGGAGATGGCATCCCTGTCCCCTTCGGTCCGTACCAAGGTCTGAACCAGAGCCGGACGCGAGAGGTCGCCGTCACCGATCACTTCCCTGAGGACACGACGGACAAACGTAAAAAAGAAGAAACTTACCATTTTTATTTGGCTTAACAATCTTAATCTCGTTAGGAACTTCGCCTTTCTCAATTCTGTCTGAACTCAATTCTGCTTCTTGAACAACAAAATTATCTTCAATGTTAGCACTTTTCATAGCTTCTTGCAAAATGTTACTTGAATTGGCAGCTTTAGAAGTATCTGTATCTTGGCTTACTGTATCAATATTTAAAATGGGTATATTAATAAAATCCATGTTTTTATTTATTAAACTATTCGATAGACTATTTAAAGACGTAGCTAATAAGTTAATACAGGTATTATTCTGGTTGGTATTTATAATTTCTAAAGCATGCCCAATATTTTTCATTTTTCTTTCGTACATCCTTTGTGGTGTTTCGTTTGTAACCTCTTCGTTGTCTATGCTTTGGTTTATATTATTATCTACGATGACGTCTGTCTGTGGTATGTCAATATTTTCTTGTTTTTGTATTTGTAGATTTCTATTTAGTTGATGCGGGATTTGTGTGTTCCTTTCCTGAAACTAATAATATTTTTTTAAATATTTATTTTATAAGTACAGCTTTTTTCGTAAGATTAAATCGTCAGCCCCATTATACTATACAAAATTCGATACATACTAAAATGAAGGAGCTAAACCGTTTACAATGGAATGTGTACCGTGCCGTGGTGTGATACATTACACATTCAATGTTATTCCTTAAATTAGAATTATATTTTCTACTAGCAGTTGCCCGCGACTTGGTCCACGATTTTCCAAAATAAATGAGCCTATGCTACTCCTTGGTACATCAGCAGTCAATAAAATTTCCGTCAAAGTCGGTTCAGCCATTCCAGAGATTAGCCAGTACAAACAAACCGACAAACAGACAAACATTTGTAAAAAAAATATATTTTGGTATGTGTAACATATGCATACTCATATATGCATGTAGTAAAAAGTACATGCAGGTCACATTATACCACTGTACAATGTAACACCCACTTTTCACTATTTATGTTATGAGTCCCATGTAATAGGGGGTGAGCCTACTACCATATACCGGGCACAATTCCAGACTCTGTGCTACTACTGAGAATTAAAAACTCAGTAATATTTTGCCTGACCCGGGAATCGAACCCGAGACTTCTTGCTCGGCAGTCCCACTTGCGACCACTCGGCCAACGATGCAGCCAGTTCATTATTAAACTATTAGGGATGATGACAGGGTGATAATGATGATGAAAATTAAAAAACTAATTAGTCCGTCAGTTAGGTAATGAAAATTTTAAGACACATATTTTTTTATTTTGTTGTATAATAAAATGATACTTGGATATAAGATAACTAAGATATAACGAATCAAAGTTTAGGAGTGGGGGCTAAAACGTCATTTCTACGTATAAAACGTACATAGAAGTGACGTCACGCGACATTTCAAATCAATACATCGTCGAAAGTATTCATTTCTGTAAGTAAATAAAAAATACGTGTGTAATGTTTTAAAATTATCTTATTATGACGGACATCAAAATAAAAATTAGTCATCTACCCTAATATTTTTTAATTTTCTTACTCTATTCTGCTTGTCCAACTTACCTCAGATATTATATTAAAGCTATTTAAAACTTGCAGTGTAAACATTTTGATTTTCTTCAACATATTATGACAGTTGTAGCATATGACTTGACATCTTGGTTCTATCTGAAAATAAATATTAAAATAAAAGATTAAGCTTTCAACATTAAAATTGTACAATATTAATTTGCCAGTTTACGGAGCCGCGGAGGACTTAACGGGTTACTGGGGCTCCGGCTCGAACTGCAGGAGTAGGGTGAGTAGTGGTTCTAGTCAGTAAGAGTCTGACACTCCCTCTCGCCTCACCCGGGCGGGAGAAGACATTGGATGATTCCCCCCTCTAAAAAAAGACTCGGGAATCGAACCCGCAACAGTCACCGTTTAAGTAAAGAAGCAGTCTCAGTATCATCACGAGCCTGTTCTCGTCCCCTGCTGGACATAGGCCTCTTCAATGGTACGCCATTGAGCTCGATCTTCAGCTCTACGCATTCAACCACATAGCGGATATCGTCACTTCACCTAGCTGGAGATCCAGCTGGAGAAGAAGCAGCCTACTACTATAAACATAAATTAACACGGTAATCCCTGAACCCCCAATATTTTTTATATGGCAATAATCGGTAAGCGTGCAGACGGATCACCTGATAGTAAGCAACCGGCGTCGCCCATTGACACCTGATAGACTAAGGCGTTATAAGTGCGTTGCCGGCCTTTTGGGAATTGGGAATTTAAAAATTTAAACGAGTCGTTTACCGACTTATCAAGCCTTAAAAGTACGGGTTTGAATTCAATTATTATGTTTGTGTTGAATAGTCCATTATTGTGTGCGTTAAATGACCATTTGAAGCTTATAGATGATTTGCGGCTTCTGTAATTGTTGCGCACATTTTTAAAGCTTTAAAATAACGTTTAAAGTAAGTCTTTAGAGCTCTTATTGAGAGTGCTGGGAGCAATTGAAGTGTTTTTCTGTTTAATGAAATAACCTTTGAGCTATGTATTATTTTTGTTGTTTTTTGCAGAACAAATTTAAACTAATTCCTAAGAAGCCATGTACAAAATATGATAAGAATCCGCTTAACCATTTCAAAGATCTAGCAAATCCAAAAACGTTACCCCATAAGAATCTGGAATAACTTCGCAACCGATGAAAGAACAAATACAAAATCAGGCACAACATTTACTTCATCTAGACAAGTAATTTTATAGCTAGTCATTATTTAAATATTAGAAAGAAAAAGACCCGCCCACCCATTAGAAAGAAAAAGGTCTGGCTGGGGTAACGTTACCCCAGCAGGAAATATTTTTGTGAAATAATGAAAAACTTTAAACGCAACAAATTTAAAAATGTGCGCAACAATTACAGAAGCCGCACAACTAATCAATACATAGTATAAAACAAAGTCGCTTTCGCTGTATGTCCGTATGTATGCTTAGATCTTTAAAACTACGCAACGGATTTTGATGCGGTTTTTTTTAATAGATAGAGTGATTCTTAAGGAAGGTTTGTATGTATAATACATGCATATTGCACCCGTGCGAAGCCGGGGCGGGTCGCTAGTTATCTATAAGATTCGAATGACGATTTTCGACAACATCTGGCCTTGGTAATGCACACGATGCCGGGGCTCGGGCTCGAAGAGCAGGAGTAGAAACGGGGTGGTTTTTAGTCAGTAAGAGTCTGACACTCCCTCTAATCTCACCCAGGGCGGGAGAAGTCATTGGATGATTTTATCCCCTCAAAAAAAGCTATTAACTCGTCGAGTACCGTCATTATAGACACAATTATAGAACAATAGGTTGCGATCACCGGTGACCGCTCGGTGTTTGACAGTTTAATGAAAATAACATTTCACCTACCTCTGGTTTTAGAAATCTGTTTAAAAACTCGGCATGGGAGCATGTTGATAGCTGTAGGTAAGTTCCCCCATTTGATAGACAGCAAATACAGAATAAGGTTGGAGACTCCGTTATTATTTCTTCATTTAAAACTTCATCAATCATGGCCTGTTCAGCGTCTGTAAACGATATTCAGTCAATATTAAAACTCCCGTGAGAACTATCTTTATCTATACATATAATAAAATCGTAGGAAAGTTTTTTTTATTAGATAGGACTGACGTTTAACCACTATCTCGCCCGGTGGTAAGCAATGATGCGGTCAACGATGGAGCACGTCGACCCATAAGCAACCTGTTCACTCGGGCCTTGAAGATTTACCAAGGGATGGTAAGTAAAACGCGAGTGAGGTTTTGGAACAGAATGATTTATTAGAAGGTTTACTCAGCTTATTTATACATTTGGGGTAAACATTAATTTTATTTAAAATATGACGGACCGATCGTAAACGACTAGTAGTTCACGGGCCTGCCGCGCTCAAGGCGTGTCGCTGCTGTCGTCGAGGCGGCGATCGTGTATTGTCGTGGACATATAAAAACTCCTGGGCCGGTGCGCGCGCTTAGAGATCCATAAGCGCGCACCGCACGTAGATGGTTTATGCTGCTCATAGGCGTCTGGTACAAAGACACCCTTCAGGAAATACAGACTCTGGCAAAGAATTCCACTCTTTAGCAGGACGCACAGGAAGCTTGACGCGAAGCGCTTCGTGCGCGGGTGGGACATCTACCATGAATCGGTGACGCTTCGCCGATTGTCTTGTGGTAAGTGCAAACTGCACATTGATTTTTTTTAAACTAGCTTCTGCCCGCGACTTCGTACGCGCAATCCCGATATTTCCCGTAACCGTTCTTGATTTTCGGTTAAAAGTAAAAAATAAGTATTGGGTAAAAAGTATCCTATGTCCGTCTCCTGGTTCTAATCTACATCCTCACCAATTTTCATCCAAATCGATATACCGTTCTTAAGTTATAACACGACTTTCTTTTATATATATATATATATATATATGTCGGAGGAAGCTGGGAGTTAATTGTTACTTGCATTGCATAACGCACATTAATTTTTATTTGTTTTATATTCACTTTTTAAAATGCCTAAATTAATTTAAACTGATTTGTCACACTTAAAATTCTTAATTTGATTTATTAGAATTATTGATAATTTGAATTTAACTTCCTAAGTAACGACCAATCAGAGCAGAGCGCGCGCCTCGAGCGGGGTCGAGGCGCCATCTTACTGATAAAAAGAGAGATAGTTTTGGCGGGAGAGCATGAATTAGCCATCGGACGAGGCGGATCGTTTATGTAATTTTACTGTAAGATTGGTGCCCTGAACCCGCTGCTCAGTCCTAATTATTAACTTTTCTTTTACGTTATTGTGAAACAGATAAAACTATTGTTACTATCTAAATTAAAATAGTGTTTATTGTGATCGTTGTGTTTTGTGCTCGCATTTTACCCTCATGACGCCCACTAAGCCCGCAATCACTAATGACGATGTCGGCGATGACAATGTTTCTCCGACATATATATATATTT